GGGTGTGGGTGTGGGTGTGAGGTATGGATGTGGGTATTAGCGTTCATTTCATCCACACCACACCCACACCCACACCCACACACCCACACCTCACATCCCACACCCACACCCACCACCCACACACACCCACCCACACCCCACATCCTACACCCCACACCCACACCCACACGCCCACACCCACATCCTACACCCCACACCCACACCCACACACCCACACCCCCCATCCCACACCCACCATCCACACCCTTCGCCTTTGAGATTTCACTTTTTTTTGCATCCATATATGATCGCCGTTATATTATTGCAATAAAAATTCTTTTATATCCTTCATAGTATATTATTTATATGACTATAAACTCATTTCTACTCTGATATTAAGCTTATTCATAGCGTTTTGCACTTTGGAGTTTTTTGCTCGTTCTTATCTCGGTTCTTATGTGCATAGTGTGTGTGTATACGTATTTAAGAAACGAGACTGATAAGGTAGTCTTTTTTTTTTAATAATAAAGATATAAAATAAAAGTAGACAATACAATATTCACTCTATTCTAGAATCGTATCATGACAGACAAATCTTTAAATACTGCTAGCATGTCACAGAATGATCAACATCGATTCATTCAAAATTTTATTGTCATTTGGCTCGAGTCAAATATCAATGAAATGGATGATTTGATAATTGAATTGCGTCGTCATTCCGATTTGGTTTTCACATTTAATGAATCTGATTCATGTGCCAAATTTCTTAAAAATGTTCACGATCAGAAAATTTTTCTGATTGTATCAAATACTCTTGCCAATGCCATCTTATCACTCGTACATGATCTATCGCAACTAGATTCTGTTTATATTTTATGTAAAAATAAAACAATCGAGAATAATTGGACCAAAAAATGGAGAAAAGTTCGAGAAATTTTCGACGATATTTCATTTATTTATTCCTCAATTACAACGAAACACACGATTATGTGAAGAAAGTCTCATGCCAGTTAATATTATTACTGAAACTTCGACTATAAATTTAAATGAAATTCAATCGTCATTTATGTATACACAATTACTAAAAGAAATCTTTACAGAAATGAAACATGATGCTGAAATGGCAAAACAATTGTTTGTTGATTTTCTATATAATTTGTATGCTGATAATACAGTATTATTAAATGCTATTGATGAATTTAAACGTACTTATGAAGATCATTCACCTATTTGGTGGTATACAAAAGAAGAATTTATCTTTTCTATGCTTAATCGAGGATTGAGAACACAGGATATTGATGTTCTTATGAAGATGGCATTTTTTATTCGAGATCTTCATCAACAAATTGTACAATTACATTTTGAGACTAATCATACAACAAAAATGATTGTTTATCGTGGTCAAGGCATGTTTCATGCTGATTTTGAAAAATTAAAGAAAAGTCATGGTGGTTTAATTTCATTCAATAATTTTTTATCAACAAGTACGAATGAATCAGTTTCTCATCTTTTTGCAGATAGTTCTCGATTCGATCCAAATTTAATAGGAGTTCTATTTGAAATTGAAATTGATCCAATGATTTCGTCAGTTCCATTTGCTTCATTAGATCATATTAGTTATTATTCAAGTACAGAAAAAGAAATTCTCTTTTCTATGCATACAATATTGCGAATTGGTGATATGCATGAAATTGAAAATCGATTATGGAAAATTAAATTAACATTAACAAATGATAATGACGAACAACTTAAATGTTTAACTGATTATATACGTAGAGAAATTGGTGGAGGTTCTCATTATCATCGATTAGGTTGGTTAATGATTACATTAAATGAATATGATAAAGCTGAAAAGATTTATACAAAACTTCTCGAAACGACAGCTATCGATGATTGGGAAATATGTGCTACATTGTATAATCAGCTTGGACTTATTTATGCTAATACCGGTGAAGACAAGAAAGCATTGGAATTCTATGATAAAGCAATTAAAAACTATCAGAAAGCGTCGTCTACACATTTTAGTCTTTATGTGACTTATAGTAATATTGCTTTAGTATATAAGTCCATGGGAAAATATGAAACTGCACTTTCGATGTATAATAATGCACGTGAAATCGAAGAAAAAATTCCTTTAACAAAGGATTCTGATTGGGCAATAACTCATAACAATATTGCATCGGTGTATCGTTTGATGGGCGACTTTTCAAATGCACTTTCTCATCATCAAACAGCACTTGAAATACGAAAAGAAGTTCTCCCACCAAATCATCCAAGTTTAGGTTTAAGTTTTAATAATCTTGGTGTTATCTATCATTCGAAAGGAGACTATAAAACTGCATTAGTAAACTATCACGAAGCACTTGAAATTTATCGAAAATCTCTTCCAATCGTCCATCCAAGGCCAGCTGAAACTTATAATAATATAGGTTTTGTTTATGACTCGATGGGTGATTATTCAAATGCACTTTTATATTATCAAAAGGCGCTTGAAATACAAGAAAAAAGTCTACCATTAATGCATCGTGATCTGGCAACAACTCATAGAAACATGGGTTGCACTTGTGCTGCAGTTGGAGATTATTCAAAAGCCCTTGAATGTTTTCAAAAAGCGCTTAATATTCAAAAAACAGCTCTTTCAACTACTCATCCAGATTTAGCAATAACTTATAATAATATCGGTTTTGTATATGATACAAAAGATGACTATAAAATTGCTCTTGAATATTACCAAAAAGCGCTAGATATTCAACAAAAATCTCTTTCAATTACACATCCCGATCTAGCAATGACCTATAAAAACATTGGAGGAATACATAGTTCGATGAAAGACTATTCCAAAGCACTTTCATACTATGAAAAAGCATTAGAAATTGAACAAATTACTCTTTCATCAAATCATTCTAGACTAGCGACTACATATAGTAACATTGGCGTGGCACATCAATATATGGGAGATTACAAAACAGCAATGTCTTATTTTTTAAAAGCACTTGAAATTCAACGAAAATCTCTTTCACCAACTCATCCTGATCTTGCACATGTCTACAACAATATGGGAGCCGTACAAGGTAGCCTAGGAAATTATTCAATAGCATTGTTGTGTTATAAAAAAGTTCTTGAAATTCGAGAAAAAATTCTTCCAGCTATACATATCGATTTAGCTATTATTCATCTGAATATTGGTATTACGCATTATAGGATGAAAAATTATTCGACAGCATTATTACATTTTCAAAAGACATTTGAAATTCAAGGAAAAATTTTTTCACCAACACACATTATACTAGCTGATATTTGTGATAAAATTGCTATGACGTATTATTCAATGGAAAATTATTCAAATGCACTTTCGCACTATCAAAATGCACTGAATATTCGACAAAAATCTTCGCAATCAATTCATCCAGACACAGCAGTGAATTTTTATAATATAGCAAAAACATTTGAACATCTTAATCAATATCACGAAGCTGTAGAATATGCACAAAAAGCTGTTGATATGGCTCGTCTTCTATTCGGATGTGATCATTCTGAAGTGAAGGAAAATCAAGAATATCTTGATAAACTTCGTCAAAAACTGTAGTATCTATTTTATAGGATTGTTTAAATTTTAAAAGAAGCTTCCTTTCGACTAGTAATTTTTCTTAATAAGATTACTCTTCAGTCGCGAGTTGGTGTGTGAGTCTTCTGTAGGGTGTGGGTGGGTGTGATCCACATTCTGATAAAATTCATCAGTACGTTTGACAGACTGAAATCAATAAGAAAATCTCGATTCAGGTTTAATTCAGTTTGGGACATATTGGAAAAGCAGCCATTTCGTTTTCTTTAGTATAATATTGCGCCATCCTGTAGAAAATTCCATTTGAGTTTTTTATATATCTTTGGATTCAACGAATCGTTTTCGAAATATGACAAAATTCTAAAAAGGAAGTAAAATCTGAACATGAACAGATAAATTGTATTTTTTCTGGCCGATAGTTAAAGATGACACACTCGAAATTTAATCAACTAACGCTCAATCAGTTCTCTTCTTCTTCTTCTAAACACGCGTATTAAGAAGAGGAATGAACTAAATTTTGTTTTAAGGGATTTCTATCTGGATTGGTCGATTTGAACTATAACTGATAATCCACGATCTCGGTTGAATCAATCTTGTTATTTCGCCCTAAACTTACGTTTTCAAAAGTCAGTTGTCATATTATTTAGCGAATCAGAACATGCAGACTAATACTAAAGAATGGTATTTATGGTTTATTGTGAATAGAATGTTGATTGTGCAATGAAAAGAGCCAAAATTCATCATAGAGATGATAAAACTGCATCAAGTATAAGCTAGAAACGTTGTACAACACTGAAAGCCTGCGTATGTAGGGTGTGGGTGTGTGTAAGTATGGGTACTCCTCAACATCCCCACCCCCACCCCCACACCCACCCGTTTCAATGGTTCTCCAAATCCACCAATAAATGAATCATATTTAATTTATCCAATACAAAAAGATATGCCTTATGGTCATATTTCTGTTGTTGTTGATGTTTTAAAAAATTCTATTAGAATTGCTGAACAAAATTTTTATTTTACTTATTGGAAAGATAATTATGCTCGAGAAATTCCATTTGTATATAAAAATGATCTTTATTATATTGACGATGAATATGAAATTTATGGATGGTTAGAAATTGATGATTCAAAAGAACAATTAAAACCATTAAATAAATTAACAATTGAAAAAATTCAAATGAAATATGAAAATATTTGAAATTCAATTTCATATTTATTATCTTTTCGTTTCTTCATATGTCATATTATGTTTTTAAAACATTTATTTTGATATAATATTATGAAGATAAAATCGATTCAATTAGATTAAAATATTTCATAGGAATAAATAAAAATTAAATAAATTATTTGTTGATTTGATTTATCTCAAATCATCGATTTAATAACGGATGATGCAAAAGTTTTTGCAAAAATGTTGCTCTATTGTTCCTTGACTAAACATGTTTGGAAGAAATCGGAAATACCTATTTAAGAATCTGCGTCGAAAGTGGTTGCTAACTGTATAATCAAAAAAGTTGTACCATGTATCGACTTGGAGTAACAAACACTACTAAAATGTACACTGTAAAAGAAAAACAGTTCAAAACGACTGTGTCAAAATGATCAATCCTTCTGTATTTTGTGATATCCTTCGGCTCATTTTATCACAATGTTGTGCTCTTCTGTCTATTAGAATATATGTTCTATTTTCAGGAATCAATATAACGAATACGATTGAAATTTTTGAAACAACATTGCCAAATAAAAACAACTTCGAAGTTCTCATCATTTTCAGGTTGATGTCCATTTTGTATTGGCCAGTGCTCGCTTTTGCCATTTCTGTGAATTGGCAACATAAGAGCTGGGTTATACTTGTAGTTCGAGTATCCTGAATCAACATTATATCTATTTTGAATAGCAATGGTGATACTTGGATCTCGAAAAAATCTTATCAGATCCTCATCAGTTTCACATTCGGTTTTAGTGTGTTGTTTTCAGTTTCCTTTTTTCGTGTTATCCAAAACAATGTCGTACGGTTTTCTATCAAGTTCGTAGAGAATTAAACAGCAAATTTAACGAAATAAAGAGCAGAAAAATATAATGGAGTACATGCGAGAAAATCAAAAAATAATGAGAGAACAATTCCTTTCTCTCACAACTACATTGAGATGTTTTTCCAGTGTATATTTTAGTAGTGTTTAAAGATGTGTTTTTTTACTCGAAGCCAATACATGTCAAAACTTTTTTGATAATACAGTTAGAAAGTGCTTTTGATGCAGATTCCTAATAGATATTTTCGATTTCTCTTCAACTTGTTTTAGCCAAGGAAAAATAAAGTAACATTTTTGCAAAAACTTTTACATCACCCGTTAAATAGATATTTTGAAATTATTGAATAAATTGCAATTTTTATTTTTAATCAGATAATACAAGGTTCACGCGGAAGAATTTTTCGGGCAGTCCACTTAAAAGACTTGACTAAGAGCTAAGTATACTGCTATAATGTCTAGACGCTTTTAGAATTAATTTCAGACTTCTAAGTCTTGTACTTTGTTGTAGTCTATCATTTCTTTTATAGTAGGTACATGCAATTTCTAATATAATTACATAACGTGTTGAATGGTCGTGTTTTGTATATCAGTTTTCAGTCCTTTAATAAGGTGTACTAAGAAAACAAAATACAGCATGAAAAGCTCTATAATTTATACAAAACCGCTTCTTTTTAAATAGTGACATGTTTTACTTTCAGAATGGACAAAATTTTGAACGATCAAATTTCGACACTGTGAAAAGATAACACGAAAGAAAAATTTCTTTTTTCTTATTTCATCTTTTTATCGCTTATCTAGATTGTAGAGTTTTTCACGCTACATCTTTCGGTATATTTGTTTTTATTTACGAAAACATATTATGAGAGTAAAAAGATGAAAAAGGAAAAAACGAATTTATGTTGTACCGAAAAAAAAACAGATCGTTGTTGCATGTTTGTATTAATTATATAACCATTTTGCCAATGCACTGAAACGTTCTTGTATATTCTCGATTATTTCAAGACACAAATTCATTATGAGTTATTACTATTCATTTTAAAACTATCTACATCCATTCTCGGAATGAGTTTTTTCCTCCTTGCAATAGATATTATTTGAAAATGAGAAGTAAAGTACCACAAAACGGCAAAATAGGTCCACATCTTGCCTTACTTTAATTTTCTTTTCTTTCATTCTCTTTTGGACAGTTCTAGCAGGGAGTAGTAATTTTACAGAATGTACTTTTCGTGGTCTGTAATTTCAAGACGTCGGTTTTAGATTTGAAGCAAATTAAAGATACAATCTATTCTATTTCTGTAATACTAGAGAAAATATACTGAAACATAATGCTTATATATGTGGCAATTTCCATATTTTTTTTTATTGCTAAAGTTATTACTTTAATGTGTGACAAAACTCGTGTGATAACGTTTTATTATTCGATCGAAATGGTCGTTAGGAAAAGAGATATGAGAGTTGTTTGTCTGGTCTTGTTCTTAGAAATCGTATGTGTCTAACCTTTTATTCATAACGTATGATAGTTTTTCTTTGCATACTTAGTTTAATTAGTCGAAAGATGTCTTCAATCAATGCATATGTCATTTTAATGGACTTATGAAGAACATAAAATTAAAATTACAAATAATGCTAATAGGGTTTGTATCACGGTACTTATTCAAGATGACTTTCGGGATTTATATAACTCGTCATTGAGCAAATTACTACTGACAATCATACCGTTGAACTGAAAGTCAATCTCACTCGTGATGCTCCCGTGCAGATCTCGTGCCTGAACAGTTCAGTCGGAATAGAGACAGAAAAATCAACGAGGAGACAATGATTTCGGCTATCATAATTTGATGAAGTCTAGTACAATGGGCAAGAAATTAATGAATTTTTAATAAGCAGTATCTAATCTATTCGATGATACAGGGCAAATGATCTCTCATAAGTAAATCAATGAACGACAAATGAATTACTTCATTAGATCTTGTTTTGCACTTTGTATTGCGATTTTCGTGTCTTTGATTCTATGTCCCGTATGCATGCAGCAGGATGAGAAAGGATATCGATGCGGGTGTATATGAAAGAAATGAAGACTCATACCCACAACATCAGGAACAACAGAAAAAGATGAATTGAAAAACAATATCTAATACATTATATGCTATTGATATGTCAACAATTCAATTAAGTCAAAAACATTTACATATATTATCAAAAGAATTTAAAAAAGTTTCAAAATTAAGAACAGTCAATGTTGTGAATGCTGGGAAATCATTATATTCAACATCAACATTAATTAAAAATGCAGCTATATTAGAAATATCAAAATTTATTCAAAAATAGAGAAAACCTAGTAAATGTAATCTGAACAAAGAAGAAATAAAATCAATTACAGATATTGTTGCAACGAACATTATGATTTAACTAATAATATCGTATTTATTTATTGATATTTCGACAATATTCTTTTGTCATCATCAGAATAAATACAAGAGTTCACAATAAGGACAATACAAAAAGACATAAGAAAAAGAAAAATAGATAAAGAATGACGATTATTTGTGAATGGGAGTATCATATAGGCATGAATGAGTCGGCTAATTGTTGAATGAGCAAATTATTTTAGAATGAGCGCTTATTCTAAAATAATTTGCTCATTCAATAATTAGCCGGCTCATTCATGCCTATATAATACTCCCATTCACAAATAATCGTCATTCTTTATCTATTTTTCTTTTTCTTATGTCTTTTTGTATTGTCCTTATTGTGAACTCTTGTATTTATTCTGATGATGACAAAAGAATATTGTCGAAATATCAATAAATAAATAAATACGATATGATTAGTTAAATCATAACATTCGTTGCAGTTCTACACTTCATTTTCTCTATTTTTCGAAATTCAATCGCTCTTCCATCTAATTATCTTACAGATATTGCTATTGTTCAAGTTGATAAAGGTAGAAAAATAGTGATAATGGACAAAAATGATTATATTAATAAGAGTGAGGAAAAATTAAATGACATAAAACTTTATGAACAAGTGAAAAAAAGATCTAACAACAATGATTAAAACTGAAATTAATAAAAAGGTTACGAAACTATTAAAGAATGTGGTTTATGAGTGTCACTCTTCAGTTTTCAGACACCCGTACCCTCTTATTCGATTAATCTTATTGATTGCTTGAACAATATAGAGCCCTAGTATTGTGTTAATTGTCGTGCATGTTTCAAAATAGTTTAGGAGATGATCTGGATCTGTCATCTGCAAGTAGACAACATTGAGATGACATATATCATTAGCAGATTATGTTCCGCTTCGATAAACTTTATCACCTTGTCATGTTTCTTAATTAACATGTCAAAGACATTTACGCACCATATGACATCTAAATTTTTTCCGTGTCTGTTTACTTTCAAACTACGCAGTAGAAATGCATTTAACTGAGTACTTGTTTTATTTTACAAAATAATAAAGAATTTTAAGTATGAATAACATATCGACAACTACCATCAATCCAGATGTTGCAAGACTCAATGCTGCTCGGATAGGAGTACAATACATTGGTCAACCACTTCTATTTGCTATTGGTATGATTGGTTGTATATTGAATATTGCAATTTTTCTTCGACGTTCAATGCGACACAATTCTTGTGCTATCTATTTTCATGCAAGTTCATGGGCCAATCTCTTTTGTTTAACATGGGGTGTACTTGCTAGTATGCTTGCTACTTTCACTAACAATAATCCAGCTACATATAACATTGGTTATTGTAAAATTCGTTTCTATATGATTAGTTTTTCACAAATGTCAAGTCGTGCATGTGTTGTATTAGCCTGTCTGGACCGTCTTCTACTTTGTTCACGATCATCTCGAAAACGATTGTTCTGTCGAGCAAGTGTAGCAATTAAAGTTGTACTTGTGACTATTTTTATCTGTGCTTGTTTGCCCATTTATACATTAGTAACATATGAACCTCAACTATTAATACGTCAATGTATCTCAATGTCTCGATCAGTTCAAACATTTGAAATTATAAATTTATGGTTATTAGGCTTTGGAGCACCAACTCTATTGATGAGTATATCAAGTAGTCTGACAATATGGCGATTGAAACAAAACGCTAAGCGAATCAGGCCTCAGAAAGTAAGTAGTTCGCATAATAGAATACTTGAGATTTGTACTCAAGTTTCTATCAAAACGATGCGAGCATAATTCTGATGATAGTTCAAAAAAAAACTTTCAACACAATCTCTACGGAATTAAAATGCGAAACATGATGGAGCTCCTTGTTATACTCTTCTCTCTCGGTCACAAAGTTAAGAAAGAATTAACTCCAAGTCTCTGCTAGGATCTGTAATAAGGGCTAATATAGCGCAGTATGAGAGAAAAAGTAGCATTTTTTGGATATTAGAATTTCTAAATGATTCAAAATCTAAAAATTCAAAAGTCTGAAGGGTTCGAAAATCCTAAGCTTCATAGTCCAAAAAAATCGAAATTCAATTGTCCAAATGTCACAAGTTCAATAGTACGAAAAACTTTAATAGCATTTCGCCATGTCTCTTACGGTCTGTGAAAGGTCCAATTTTCTCACTTTAAACTTCAACAGTACTTTTCAATCGTGTTTCACAAAACCATTTGAATTGAATAATAAATCGCTATTTACCATCAAAATCATCATTTTTCTTTGGATTTTGTTTAATTGCTTATTGTAATAAAATATAGATTCACGTGCGTAACAAGGATATCCAACTCGCAGGTATGCTGTTTGGACAAGTGCTTTTATATATCATGACAGCATTGCCATTTGCAAGCAATGCTCTTTACGTAACACTAACACAACACGATGCTACATCAAGCAAATCGCCATATCGTATTGCCGCTGAAGCATTTTCACAAACATTAACTAGCAGCTTTGGTATTTATGTATTCAATGGGGTAAGAAACTTCTATTCTATATAGTGTATCTGTAATAACCTGCCGTACAATTTTAGTTATCTTTCTATGTTTATACATTGACTGCGCCAAGCTTTCGTCGTGAATTATTATTATTGATTCTTCCACGACGATGGGCGATTACGTTGCGACAAAAAGAACAACATCAAATGTCTCTGACAAATCGTATAGGTCCGTCACGTCTAGATGGTACATCAATCAAGCTCAAAGTCATGCCACGTAATGTTGTTGCCACGAATCTTTAAAAACCATCATTGAACTATTATTCATTTATTATTTAAATATAGAATTATCATATTTTATGTTTCAATTAGTAATCTTACGTAGTTATTTTTCTTTTTTGATTTTATGAAATAAATGTACTTATTTATTCAGTTGAGTTCTTGCATCGAAGATACTTTTATATAAAAAATACAATGTATACTAGGAGTGAGACTTGTACAGTCATCGAAGTTCAGATTCAAGTGTGAGCCCATGTTCAACAATGAATAGATTTGATTACAAATACGTGCTGTTTTACATCGAGATGAGAATGTATTATTGAAAAATGAAACATTGATGAATGCTTAAACCAGTCCTATATAGTTATTTCAAAGCAGCGGTTAGATTGCTCGAAAATAATTCTACTGAAGATTCTGAGCTCGACTATTAACAGACGAAATCATACAACTAATTGAAAATATCATATAAAAAGCAGTGTAATCAATGCAAAATTAAATATAAAAACTCTATTCTATAGATATTCTCTATTGTATGATTGAATAAATCTCGTTCAAGTCTATTTATTTATAAAGTTTTGCTTTTGAATACGTTCTATCAAGAATAATGGTTAAAAGATATTCTGTTAAATCGTGAAAACGTGATCGTATTGTAAAATTATTTGTTTAATCTCATCTCTACAACGGATTCAGCTATCATCCTCTGCTCATGTAACACATCGATCACTCTTCGCCTAAATACCAGTCGACAATATTATCAGCTGAACACCTACTATTATCATGCTCTGCACAGTGAATGATGCCCCATTATTAAGTGGAAGCAGCGTAATTAACCGGAAGGCAATGCCTTGAGCAATCCTCGCTCTCACTGCTATCGACGACAAGGGTATGGGTGTGAATGTGAATATGATATGGACTCTTCTCTTCTCCTACATCCACATCACAGAGAAACACAAGGTGTAAAACAGGGTTGCATGGAGTCACTGTAAATGTATAAATGCGGGTATGGATGTGAATATCATATAAACTCTTCTCTTCGTCCACATTCATACCTTCGAAACAAAATCTTCTGAACATGTTATCATACTCTTGACTTTGTTACATTTAGCACTCAAAAACAAAACGTGGTTATGGTTAATAATCGATCCTGAATCTAGTATGAAAACATCGTACAAATCTGTTCCGAAAGTAGTTTTTTAGCTCGAATAAAATAAATATTTTGTAGATTATATGTAGTGCATTTATGAGATATTATATGATAGACCTTGACAATTTAGTTTTAGTTCTACAAATATTATTTTGATATATTTCAATATCTATAAGATTAGATAATGACATTTACAATTCAATTTGAGAGATATGTTCGCGCCTAGGATAGTTGGTCGCACGGACAGTTGCGCGCGGACACTTGCGCGCGGACATTTGGTCGCTCAGACAGTTGCTCGCTAGGACAGTTGGTCGATAGGACACTTGCTCGCTGTGTAGACTTTTACAAGAATTTTAAATAAAATAACGAAATATGACGACGCAATAAATTAATTTCTCATATGAGGATGATCGTCATCAGAAACTAATTGATTTAATTCTTGCAATATTTCTGAAATTGATGATTCTAATATAATGACAAATGGTGTTCAAGGAAATATGTGTATATATAAGCTAAAGAAATTAATATAACGACCCTCACACAATGCAATAATGCCAGATACTCTTTCAAAAATATCTAAACATGCATCTTTATTAATATACAATAGCTATTCATATCAATTGATCGGAAAAGTGAGATAAAAATTCTTTGGAAATATGAGTACTCCAGAAAATATCCATGTTATGGCGATTACATACAATATTAAACTATGAATGTATTACAACAGTTAGTGTACATGAGAATTATAATGGTAATCCACGATGTGAAGCAACTCGTAAATATTATGAATAATTAAGGCAAGAATCAGAACAAAATCAAACAAATCCGCATAATTTATTAACACAAACAAATATTAGTGTACCGGATGAGATGCTATTGAGTTGCAAAGTAATCACAATTTAAAACGAAATCTTGATCCTTGGCGATAAGAAAATACTACTGAACCAACACCTACAAGCATTGAATTTCCTGTTATTCCACCAAAATACAATCAAGCAACTCCTAACACCATTTTTTTTCAGAAAGATACTATCCAGGTTCAAACCGGTTATTTCTGATTTATACTTTGCGAGCAAGTGTCCTAGCGACCAACTGTCCTAACGACCAACTGTCCTAGCGAGCAACTGTCCTGTCGAGTAACTGTCCGCGCGCAACTGTCCGTGCGACCAACTACCCGTTTCCCATATGTTCATAATAAGCCAATGCTTTTCGATAATCCCCATGTAATCATAAAACGCATTTTTGACGCGTTTAAACTCGTGTGGAATTGAAACAGCCTCCAAACGCATTGAAATACGTTCATCATAGGGGTGTTTGAACGCGTTGCAAAGTCTTGCATGCGTTCAGACGTGTTTCGTGACTAAAACGCATCACAACTGATTTACAGTAGTTTTTAAACGCGTTTCAACGCGAACAGCATCATTTTTGCATCGGAATGCGTTCATACCTGGAAATAATATTAACTTAGACGCGTTTGAATGCTATTGCTTTTACTTTTGCATCCGAATGCGCTTTCCCTTTATGCAACTAATGCTTCTGAGTTCCAATCGTGCATGTAAATGTAGTTTCCTTTTCTGTTTTGCATAGACAAGATGCATCTGAACGCGTTTCTAGCTGCAACTGCACATAGTGCTATTAATAATGCAGGTTACTTCGTCACAGTACGCATGACTAGATCTCGAACAGTAAACTGAACTACGTATTTTTTATTTAAAAAAGCATAAAAATGATATAGTAATTATATAGATGACGTATTTAAGTCTTATTGCGTTTCGAATTCTTAAAGAGGACTCTTCTTGATAATCTCCCATGTAAAAAAAACGTTAACAATAATCGGAGTAAAATCGATTTC